GCAGGTGTATTCTTTGCTCCCCCATAGTAAAACTACGGGGACCCCACCAGCAGGGAAGACATGGAATAACATCAAGAGGCTAACCCAGAATAGAGAAACGTGGAGGGTGTTTGTCCGTGGCCTATAACCTGGTGTAGGGTGAGAAAGACAATGATGATGATGACCCAACTTATTTGCTCCTCTTCATTTCTCTCATGAAAATATAGGGCCTACTTGTGTCTAAATAAACGGCATTGCTGAGCGTCAGCTCTACACATCAGCAGCTAGACAGCCAGTCCGATGTCGCGCACAAACTGTGCAGTCCGCTTCAAATCTGAGAGACTGCCAGGGAGCTTTCTCTCAAGGGGAGTCACATTCTGCTACGTCTGTGTACGAAGGGTGGCGTAGCGCGGGCAGTGCTGAAGGATATGGTTGGCTGGCATCCTCTTGGTCGTGTCCACATTCACAGATCGCGAACTCTCCGACTTTTAATTTAGTGTGCATATGATGTTTGAGTCTGTTGTGGCCACAACGGAATCGAAAGATTGTGACCTGGTCTGCTTTATTTAGTATGAAAACCTGCCTTAACGGAAACCTGTGTAAAACAGAAACCTGTCTGAACGGAATCTCCCCGCTCCCCCCTTTATATATTCCTCTTTAATTACCTGTATAACACGGGAACAAGTCCAACGCGGAAACGGAAAGAGAAATCTGCTCCCTTCCGAGGGTTTCACCTTTCTAAGACGGAAAATGTTTGGCCCGTTCATCCCTGATTTGAAACAAAATTCGCAAGTTTGGTTCCACCTGCTCTAAACTTAACACTATGGCCATGCCGCTAGGCGAGGAAGGGGAGTAGGGGTGCAATTTGGAGGTAGATATTACCCCATCATGTGAGCCCTGAGCGATGCAGATGGTCAGGGTAGTGTGGGTGTGAAATCTCCCGTGAGAGCGCTCGAGTAGCGAGCCACCACGGAAACTTTCTTGGGTAGCCAGAAGTCAGAGGTGTGAAATTAGTTTGACCACCAATGCCTGCCGCCTTACGCCAGCCGAGAAAAGAGTTCCTCGAATTGTTGTTACATGATTGCAGTGAGGGGTAGCATTGGTTGACTGTGCTTGTTACACCGATGGGTGGGGCTAAGGGTGGAAGCAAAGGAGATGTCCAAACGTTTCTATTTTTAATAGGTCAAACAGTGGTCCTATGAAAGGCAAGCACTGGTGGTAAATTGGATAAGGAAGACTGACGCATGTCATTATCGGACAGGATAGCAGTGGAGAGGTGTGAGCGGACAAGCGATCCTCGATCCCACCGGCAGGGCCTTTGAACCCCCCCCCCCTCCATCTCCCCCTAAATTCCCCTGTCTAAGACGGAATTTTTTTCTGGTGATTGGTCTGACACGGGTCTAGTGGGGTTGGAGATTCTTCAAGAGAGATTTTGAGTCCAAGGCTGGAGTGTCTGGCCATATGGAGGAAGCTTGGTCTTTTTAAGCGTTAAGCAGTTGCAGTGGCAGTAGTAGTAGTAGTAATAATAGTAGTAGTAGTAGCAGCAGCAGCAGCAGCAGCAGCAGCAGCAGCAGCAGCAGCAGCAGCAGCAGTAGTAGTAGTAGTAGTAGTAGTAGTAGTAGTAGTAGTAGTAGTAGTAGTAGTAGTAGTAGTAGTAGTAGAAGTAGCAGCAGCAGCAGCAGCAGCAGCAGCAGCAGCAGCAGCAGCAGCAGCAGCAGACTTCTGAAGGCTATTAGATTTAGATCTAGTGGAAGTACATAAATGTAGCCGACTTTGTAGAGCTAAGAATGGAAGCAACGAGCCAGTTGCCTATGTTGGTAGAATCTAATAGGCCTATCCTGCAATATTTTTTTTAAAGTTTGCATTCTTCGGTATTTTGCTTTTTCGTTGACTGTTCTCTTTAAGTCACATTGGGGAAGTAAAGCAGGAGGTAGAATCTCATGAAACCAAGGAGGAGAGGACATAACCGAAAAATGTCCATTACAAAGAGTATTACGAATTATGTTTCCTCAATGCTGTCCCTTATGTGGAGACAGGCTGCCCTTTTTAAAAATTTCATCATGTGGCTTCTGTCAGTAGTGATAGATATGACATGACTCTTGGTAATGAAATGATGCTCTGCTGTGGTCTCATCATCGTCCCTTCTCACTCATCTTTAATAATAATTAATTAATTATTGTCTTTTCAGTAAATATGTCTTGTTTTGTGAAAATATCACCAAAGTTGTAGTTTTATAATACTCATTTACAGCAAAATTTATCGATAAAAACAATGTAAATGTTTATTGTTTATCGTTTATTTTCTACATTGTCAATGAAAACACTCCACTCCCCCAACCAAATATTCCTACTGAGCAGCAAGAAAACATATTCTAGATCTAACCATGGAAATGAATCGTCCATAATATCTCTGTGGCAAGCTTGTCCCTACCTAGTCCAAGGAAGATGAATGAAGCTAAACCTATTGTTACCTGTAAGTTACGTTTCTTTATTACAGTGAAAACGAATAGTCATGACAACAACAACAGTAACAGTAACAGTTAGTTGAGTTAGTAAAAAGTAGTACAGTGAGTAACAAGGCCACCTCTATTCTCACCCGGAGTGAGAATAGTGCAGGCGAGTCTTGTGGCTATTCTCACCCGGTGCGCGTTCACCAAATTTTGCGTTCACCCTAAACCACAGAATTCTACACTGTGATGACAGAAAAATGGTAGAATTCTATGCCGTGAACAAACATTCCATTACAACTGTAGCCTACTAAAAGCGTACAATTTTGTCTGTGGGCAGTGGAGAGAGAGAGAAAGAAAGAGAGGAGTAGCGCGAGAATTTCCGGGCAAAACAAAATGGCGACCCGCGTAGTTCGGCTCGATTCGAAAAGTTAAATTGCCGTAGCATCTTTGTAGACAACCAAATTAATTTACTTTTGTGTTTTAACATCATTTTTAAACTTTGTTTTGGTCAATTTGATCGTCCACACCGATAGACAGTATTCAGAAAGAGACAGAGAGAGAGAGAAGAGGGGAGGAGTTGATCTTTCGAGAACTTCGGGGCGGGTGAGAATAGCCACTTTCGTCAACCTATTGGGCTTATAATTTGAAAAGTCGAGCTTTGAATCCTGTCAGGGCAGGGTACCAATGCCAGTGCTGTGTACTGTGTATTTGGGAAAGGCATTTTGTATGAATTTGCCTGCACTTCACCCAGGTGGGAATAATGAGTTCCTGTCTTTTGACAGCAAAAGATCTTTTATCAGTTTAGTACATGTAGATTGTTAGTGTTTGAGCACTTCAGACTGCTTGCACAGTTGAAGACTGTGTGTGTGTATATGCTTCCTGAGATGCAAAGAATGTATCACAGAGTGTTCAAGGGTCTGCTGAGATAATAACAGACTTTTGAAAGCTGAGAAAATGTGCTGTAGAGCATGGGTATAAGTAATCTTATTATTTTTAGAGATGTTCTTGCATATTTTTCATATCCGTGTCATTATTGTGCCCCGGGGTGACAATAATCTGGTCATTATTCTACTCCCAGCCCCCCACTTTCTGGCTTCCGTATTTTTGAATTTTTTGGTTATGAAATTGGTGTGATTTTACATTTCAGGCCATGGAAATCAGAGTTTGTTTTCCTCCTTGCATACAGCTGTGTCTCAAGGTCTGCCTAAAGAGTCCTGTGAATGGAGAAGGTATTTTTATAAACAAAAATAGAATTAATTAGAGGTACCACAGCATGGCCGACCTGATTGCAGCAAAACACTTTTTAAAATAAATACACTTTGTTTCTGTTTAAGATGCCTGTCTTCCTCAGAGTAACTTCCTCTAAGGTCCACACAGCTTGTAGATTTTTCTTTTCCAGTTCTGTCTCACATATTTAGTGTTATATTGGAGGCATGATCATTCAACTTTTCATTACTTGGCTTTTGAAGTATTGAGAGAATTTGTTTTCATTTCATGGTCTTGTTAATTTGGGCACACAGTGATTGTTTTAGCTAATCAGAGTGAGTTCTGGAAATATCACCATGGCCTTACTAGTGAAGAGATTTCTCCTGGCCTTGCTTGTTACCTCAACTTAGTTGTTAACTCTCTTTCTCTCTCTGTCTCTCTCTCTCTCTCTCTCTTTCTCTCTTTCTCTTTCTGTCTCTCTCTGTCTCCCTCTGTCTCTCACTCTCTGTCTCTCTCTCACTCTCTCTCTCTCTGTCTCTGTCTCTCTCTCCCCTCCCTCTCTCTCTCTTAGTTATAATTCTCTCATTGCCCTCTTGTTGCTTTATATACCTCTTTTTCCCATGCATAAGAAGAGAAAATGCTGGCAATTCTTCTTTTTTCCCTTGACTGTAGGTCATATGGCAGAGCTCCCCGGTCAGTCAATCTAGAGGCCAGCTTTGTGCCATATGATGCGGATATCCTGCCTGATGAAGAAGAAAAAACTCTGGTCAGCCGACCCTACTTTCACATCTTTTGGACTGATTGTGTAAGTTTTTAGTTCGTTTCACAGGCACAGATAATGATGAAGCAGACATATATATATAATAGTTGAAAATTTGTCTTTTCACTCCCCTGTCTAGAGCTAAGGCTGATGTTTCCTTGCTGGCAGATATACTTTTGTCACTTGTGGCCATTATTCCTAAGGATATTAAGAATTTTTGCTCCTTTTAGTTCTACTCTAATTTTTTTTAAATTTTTATCTCATGTATTGTAACGGTTCGTTCACACCCAACCTCCGCATTTGTGTGGTATCGTGTGTGAGATGCACAAAAGAATTTATGACTTATCTGGACCCTTTCTGTATTCCCACCAACTGTTCGTGTTCATGTGGTAGTGATAGTTGTCGTTTGTGCGTGTGGTTAGTTTTATTGCAGCCATAATATTTCATCCATCTGCTCTCGTGTTGTGACTGACCGCTCCCTCGCTGATTCTAATAACCACGAAGACCACGGGGCAAAATGCAACCATACGCTACTCTCTGAACTGTGCTCTCAGTCCTCACTGCCATGTTGATATAAAGCACACACAATGACACACGAATAGATGG